CTTTCTTTGGCAACAGCAACCATAGATGTATGTGTTGAAATATATTGCCCGTCTTCCTTCATCAGTTCGGACTTTTGGATGAGTTGGCTGGTGCATAAATTCAATATGGTATCCAAGCCAAGAAGTCTTGACTTCAAGATACTGCAAACACAGTATTTAAAATAAAAAGATCTTGCGGCCTACATCGATCCCACGTCTAAGGACTAAGTAAGCCTAGACGTGAGACTTTTGGATGAGTTAGCTGGTGCATGAATTCAATAGTACCCCCTCCGTTCGGAATTACTTGTCTCGGAAATGGATGTATAGACGTTCGGAATTACTTGTCTCGGAAAGGGATGTATCTATATATCCATTTCCGAGACAAGTAATTCCGAACGGAGGGAGTATGAACCATGATCCGGAAGAGATCAACGAATAAGTTGAGATTGCCCTTGAATTATTTTCAATGAAAATACACCAAAATGATAAAAGATTCGGACATATAACAAAGCAGGAGCACATCCGCCAAACTGGCAACAAAGGTAAAATTTGATGACATTAGTCATCAGTCCCTAAAGTTCAGCAACTCACTACCAACTGAAACAACTATATAGGAAACAAAAAAATATTTTCTTTCACCTAAAATGAATATTTAACAATGTAGCAATAACATGTACTCCCTCCGTTTCAAAATAGATGACTCAATTTTGTATTAACTTTAGTACAAAATGTTGGGGAACGTAGCAGAAATTCAAATTTTCTACGCATCACCAAGATCAATCTATGGAGGGACTAGCAACGAGAGAGAGAGGGAGTGCATCTTCATACCCTTGAAGATAGCTAAGTGGAAGAATTATTAGAACGCGGATGATGGAGTCGTACTCGCGGCGATTCAAATCGCGGAAGATCCGATCTAGCGCCGAACGGACGGCGCCTCCGCGTTCAACACACGTACAGCCCGGTGACGTCTCCTCCTTCTTGATCCAGCAAGAGAAGAGGAGAAGTTGAGGGAGAGCTCCGGCAGCACGACGGCATGGTGGTGGAGCTTGCAGTTCTCCGGCAGGGCTTTGCCAAGCACTACGGAGGAGGAGGAGGTGTTGGGGAGGGAGAGGGCTGCGCCAGGGGAAGGGGTGAAGCTCCCATGCACCTCCTCGCTATATATAAGGGTGGAGGAGGCTGGTTTCTTGCCCTCCAAGTCCATTGGGGCGTTGGCAAAGGTGGGAGGAAATAAATCCCATCATTTCCTTCCCCACCAATTGTTATCCCCCCTTTTTAGGGATCTTGGTGCACCTTGACCAGGGGTGTGGGGCCTTGCCCCCACTACCCACGTTCATGTGGGTCCCCTCATGCAGGTGGGCCCCACTCCGGAACCTTCTAGAACCTTCCCGATACAATACTGAAAAATCCCGAACATTTTATGGTGGCCAAAATAGGACTTCCCATATATAAATCTTTACCTCTGGACCATTCCGGAACTCCTCGTGACATCCGAGATCTCATCCGGGACTCCGAACAATATTCGGTAACTGCACACTAATTCCCATAACAACTCTAGCGTCATCGAACCTTAAGTGTGTAGACTCTACGGGTTCGGGAATCATGCAGACATGA